CGTGGTATTTCCATGGTAACGAAGTCAGAAATTAATTAGGGTAAAGAAGCCCAGGAATTCAAATTGTTTGTAATATCTGATTATATTTAAAATATTCTATTCTAGACCTAGTTAAATGTTTCGTAACGATAACAAAAAAAATCATGAGATTCACTCATTTAGAATTTGTCAATGAATTTGCCTATTTGGCAAAAGGATGGCACTATAGTTTATAGGGTTAGAACAAGTATGCCCAAAAAATTTGATTTTATGGGGACAAATATTTAACTATAATAAAAGTTCATTTTTGACACCGTGGTGCAAAAAGAAGAAAAAAAGTAGGACCATGGTGCATTTTACAATATATATTGCAAGCTATACTAATACTGATTGTATTGTATTTTATGGCAGTATATTTTATGTTTAGAAAGAAATATTCCTGAAAATCTCATTTCACAGGGACAAATATTTCACCATTAAAAAAAAAACAAATAATTTCAGACAATATGGTAATTTTTAAAGATTATATTGCAAGCTATTTTATATTCAGCTCCACTTTTTTTTTTTACAAAGTGATGGAATTATTTTATTTATTTTTTATTTGAACTTATTTGTCATACTAGTGAACACTAGTTTTGTTTGTTTGTTGCAGTACAATAATATAGATTTTGTTCATCATTAGTCATCATATTTGAATTCAAATAATTTCATTTAATTATCAGCTATCTGTGTTGGTAGATTCCTTGGAGTTTGCCAAATGTGCTAATACAGATTTGTCAGAAATGTAAATGCTCGCAGCACCTTAAGAGAACAAAGTGTCAACAGAAAGAGATTTGTAAAATGAAAAGCTGCTGGCTGAACACAGACATGGTAATGAAGCACAGATCTGCGCTGTTTCCAGTCAATTCCTGCCATTTGGCCTTCATTAGACTCGGCTTCTGGGTTTGTGTTGCTGGAGCGGGTGTCTCACTGAAGACTGTGGAAGAACATAATCTCTTTCATTTAGTGCCTTGTTGCCTGAAGAAGCTCAGTTGGATTTATCATCAACAGCCTAAGTCTAGATTTGTATGTTTTGTGTGTATTTGCCTGTGCTAAACTCAGTGTCACGATGCCAGGGTTGTTCTGGGTGGTTTTTAGCAGGTTTCTAGGGTGTTTTTGGTGGTTTCTGGGGCATTACCCATAGCATAACATATTCCGTTTCATACTGTAGATGTGACTCAGGTCCTTCCTTCCCTCTAAATGCATGGAGAGTTATGTGTCTAGGTCTAATATTTATATATCAGCAACAGCACTAGTGATCCTCGGCTCCTTAGCAACCGCTACTATTAATTACAGCCAGATCTTCTGCATTACAGCACGTTTGCTGAGCGATGACCTCTGTTACCCGCACCGGTCAGCCGGCCCTTTCACTCTCTCCTGCTTTATATCGTTCTGGGTTCAACTTCTGGTAAAAGTGAGAAGATTTGTTTCATTTGAAACAACGTTGTAATGCATAAACATCTGGCAGCAGCAGGGCAGCAGATGAAGGCACACAGAGATGTTTTTATGTGTGAAATCATTTGCATAACGCATCCTGTATCTGCTGATGTCTGCCTCACCAGTTTGCTCAGATTTCACACACACATTCTGGATTTTAAGAAACCGCATTTATTTCGACTGAATCTCGTGACAATTTCACAATGCAAAAATATATATTATGTTATGTTGTTATTTTATGATTATATTTGTATATATTATTTATAATTAAGAATGAATTGTTAGTTATTTAATAATTATAATTAGTTATATATTACAATATTACATATTAAATAGCAGCATTTATTAATCTTAGTTCATGTTAATTTACTAATGCATTATTAAAATCACAAGTTTTGGTTGGTAACATTAGTTAATGCATTGTGAACTAACATGAACAAAAAATGAACGACAGTATTTTTATTAACTAACATTAACGAGGATTAATAAAGAGTATAATAAATGTAGTGTTCATTGTTTTTTCATGTTAATTAATACATTAACGAATGTTAACAAATGACACCTTATTGTAAATTGTTACCATTAAAATAATATTATTACTTATTAAAATACTTATTACACATGTTAAAATATATTATTACTTATTCATAATTTAAAAAATACAAAATATATTATTTATAAGTAAGGTAATTATTGATTATATTTACTATATATTTATATATATTTATTCACTTTTAGAGGCATTTTCATATATATATATATGTATATATGTGTGTGTGTGTGTATATATATATATATATATATGTGTGTGTGTGTGAGAGAGAGAGAGAGTGTTTCAAATAGTTGTATCTCGGCCAAATATTGTCCTATCCTAACAAACCTTACATCAATGGAAAGCTTATTTATACTGGTAGTCAAAACGACTGGTTTTGTGGTCCAGGGTCACATATCAATATTTTTAAAAGTATGACAGGATGGATGAAAAGTGTTTTATATTACAGTCAGTGGCTACGTTTACATGCACAATTTTTGGTTCAATCGGACGGAATTGATTCCGATTGATGAATCTGAATGTAGTGTTTACATGAACGCTAAATAAAGTGATTGGGTTGATGTGCGTGTTTATATGTCACAAGCTTCAAATTGGATTTTTTATTTTTGCGCACACTGCACAAATATAGAGTTTCTCACTGTTTGCACATAATAACCACTCTCCTACACGGTTTCTTTATTTGTTTTTAACAGCAGAATTAATATTTATCCATTTATGGATAAATATACATATAAACCGCTGTGCTGTGTTGCTCATATTTATCATGCCGTAAAAATGCCCCTCCCCACGTCCAAAACGCATTGCCTGTGGATGAGAATCCAAAACAAGGACTGGTGGGAGGTTGTCCTGCCGAATGAAAGGAGAGTTTTATAATGACAGGACACGCATTTATACAACACTTTATTCAAAAGGAAGAACCGCTCGTTCTGCGCGTCATACGTCATTACGTTATTTCTGCGTCATTGCACATGCGCAGTCCTTTTAGTTTTCGGGGTTCAATCCGATCGAGTGTATACATGCACTCTCAATCGTATTAGAAAAGGAATAAACCACCCCTTTCAATCTGATCGAAATTTCATTCTGATCAAGCTCAATCGGATCGATTAAGGTGTTTACATGAAGGCTTTTCAGTCCGATTGAGCCATCAATCCGATTACAAACGGATTATTTGGTTGCATGTAAACATACAGTATATTATATACAGTTTGTGAATGGATGATAAGCATACATAGTATATACACCCAATATATATATATATATATATATATATATATATATATATATATAAATTATATTTTACTATATTAACTATTTGACTATATATTTATACAAAAAAATGTTTTTTTACTTTTTAAAATAGACATAATATTTAACACAATAGTTATAATAATATTAAATTATGTATAAACACCTGTAGTAACTGAGTATTTTGCTAGAACATTCATGGTAAATGTAAATAGTTCATGGTAAATGGGCATGATAATATTGGGAGAGTAGAAGAATACATTTCACAGCCTGCAGTTAGTAAATGTTTAAGCTATACATTTTTCATACCAAGTACTTGTTTTTTTTTTAAAGTTTGCATGCAGGATGAGGGAATATATTATTATTATGAATTATTTATATATTTTTACAATGTTATAATATCACTTTTCTCCATGAGATCATCCCAGTATATTATGATAATTGTGTGTCTCTTTCTCCATCTGCAGGTCCACAGTGTCACTGTTTCCATTTTTGGCTCCACTTTGTGTCCTCGCTCACATCACACCTGGCTGAGATCTCCCCGGCGGACCTTTCACCCCTCGTCCCGCCATGGCCCTCTCCTCACGCTTAAAACTCTGGGAACAGAAGGGAGGTGCAGGCCTGGAGCTCAACTCAACTAACCCGACTGCTGCTTGACTCACCGTTTACTAACCAGCACCAGTCCACCGTTTAATCACTGTTCTTTCTGAGATGCTTGTAGTCTGGCCTCAGTCTCACACAGACCACACACTGACATTAACTTTAATATGAAAGTCAAAAGATTGCCTGCGTCTCTTGAAGTCTCTGTAAAGTAATGCAGGTCACATCGGCAGTGCTGTCTGGCAGCTATTAGACGTACAAGTACAGCTTCTGTAAAAGAGGAAAGATTGAAATCTGTGCTTGTCAATATTACATTTGAACTACATCATCAAATCTAACAACAATAGTATCAAATGTTGCTTCTCTTGTCCTAGGGGAAATAAAACACCCGCAAAGATCAATTAGCAATTTATTAACTAATTTCCTATGACTCAAGTTAGGCCCTCATGTTCATTTGCTAGCATTATCTTCATTTTTATTTGGTAGCTGGTAGTTTTATTTGGACAAAGTATATGTCGAATGTATGCTGGATACATTGTAAAAAATATATATAAAAAAAAATATTTATCAAATTTTAAATATTTCATTTTAAACCTTCAAATGAAAAAATATATTATAAAAAGTTCTTAAAATGGCAAGAAAAATACTTTTCTTGAACTGAAGTTTTTAAAATATATTTTGAACAATATATATATATATATATAAATAAATAT